TAAAAATAGGTTCAACTAATGAAAATAGTGAAAATAGAATCATGACTATCACAAATGATCATCCTAATGAAACAAAGAAAATAACTAAACAATAGAAATGAAAGTAGTGGAGTCTTTACCACTATTACCACTATTGCTATATCTATATCAATGGAATCATAAATTAGACTCTGAACATATTCATCAACCAGAGAAATCTTTTTAGAGGGTTCTCGCCTCCTCTTTAGATGTTTCGTCGACAACCACTTGAGAAACTTTTCTACAACAAATTTAGAAATGGGATTTCGTTTGCCATCATCTCTGATTCATCATGCCAGAAAGTTTCTAAAGATGGGAAACCAGTGAATGTAGCAAGAGACCAGTAAAGTGGCTATGACACTAGTGTGGTATAGCTGACGAACTTTACATAACTGAGACTAAAAGAAAGGCATGGGACATTGAAGAAGACTCCCAATTTCAAAGATTAGAGACTTAATCTATATTCTTTTTTGTTTATAGCAATGGAGATGTTGCATTACCCATGATCTTCCTCTTTCCAAGCTAATGTCAGACTTTAGTTGCATTCCAACAACATATTTTCTATCCCATGCGAATTACCCATGATCTTCCTCTTTCCAAGCTAATGTCGGACTTTAGTTGCATTCCAACAACATATTTTCTATCCCATGCGAATTGAGTGGTGAGTTATCTTTGGATGGAACCTAGTAAGAGGTTGTGATGTATCAAATAACATCTTTCTAATAAGAACCAAGTTTGTTCCAAGTGTTTTGTTGGGTTGAGCAACTCGTATTTTGTAACAACTCAAGCCCACTGCTAGCAAATATTATCTGCTTTAGTCTATTACGTATCGCCATCAACCTCATGGTTTTAAAGTGCGTACTAAAGAAAGATTTCCACACCCATATGAAGAATGTTTCGTTCCCTTCTCCAACCGATGGGGATCTCATAACTATGACGGTCCAAACCACTATAATAGTTCCAAACTGAGAGGCTCCATGACCAGGAAAGGAAGAATAGGAGGCAATGGTATGGGCCAAATCAGATATCAGGGTCCAGGAATGCAACAGTTGGGTCTTTCATTATAAGCAGATCACATGGAGAAGATATTCTATTTTCAATTTCCATGTGAAGCTCTCTGCCTTGAAGCATTCAAGTATGTGCAACAGCTTGGGCTACGAGGTGGGTTGGAGTAATGTTTCTGAGTTCAGCAAAGCAATCTGAAGAATTATACTCAAAACACCCAACCAAGAGTCTTAGCCATTGAACATAAGTAGATCATTAAGTTGACCCATAATGATTCACACCTTCAAAGAACTTTTATTTTACACAATCTCAGCATTGAACTGATTGTTTTCTAAAGGTTTAAGGAAATAAATCTCAGCATATAACTTACCCGACATCATCCCATAAATTTAACTCCCATCTAAATTTTCAAAAAGATTTATACTCCAAATAGTTTTGAATCGAAAACTGACAAGGCTAAGTGTGTTTTTTTCAAAATCATTTAGCCAACACTTGTTAATCAAATCCCTACACCTCCAACAAGTAATAGACAAATTTCCATTGATCAGGATTCCAATTTTGAAATTACCCTCAGACAACAACACTTAACAACACTGATGGCCTGAGCTTTGTAGTTAAAATAACTAAGGAAGACTTGCATTATCCTCCATAAAGAACAGAAATAGGTAAATCTTAATAACTAGTAAATAGATGATATAAAAAAAATCAATTCCCTTTTACCCTTGGCAAGGAGACTCTCTTCATAAATAAATTGTGTTCTGTTTGCCAAAAATCTTTCCAATCAATGAACAAAGAAAAACATTATAGGGTAAAAACGTGTTCAGCAGCAACAGGGAACCAACCTACGCATAACTAAAGATCAAAAACTTTCTTACTGACACCAACAAACACCATTGTAATAATCAACTTGAACTCACGTGCTTCTGGACAATGTGAAGTGCCTCATGATCCTCCCCAAAGTCCTGGGGGTAGAGATTCAAAATTCAAGTAAACAACATAAATTGTATTGAAAACAAAAGAACATGGAATAGATCATCTTCTCCATAGGCAATGGACACACAACGTACCTTAACAACAACGCATGAGCACCCGACGACCTTCCTAGCCTTTCCTTCAGAATCAATCTTGCATAGCTGCATTAGACCAAATGTGAAGAAAATGAATGCGCATATTTATCGTGAACTCAGACGAGGGAAAGCATTTGGTAGTAGTGCTGGTATACACACACATATTAGTTGCATCTTGAAACTAAAATCAAGCATATGATGTAGAATGCAAATATTACAAGAAAAAAGAAATTCTCCCAATGGTGATGTGTTAGGCGGGAAACAGGAGGGGAAAAGAAAGGCTTTTTTGTTCTACATGAAGAGATTGAATCATGTTTAAGTATCAAAAGGTAAGAACATTTAGCCAAACATTGACAGGTATAGGTTCAATCATAGTAAAAAACCCAGCAAAAGTTAAACCAATTTTATCTCCATGGCTAGATAGAATAAACACTTACACCAGCCCACTCGCCAAGGGTCTTTGCACTTGGAACTGTCATCAAGTTCACATTGTGCTCTGCACAAAGTGCCTTGACTAGTTTAACGTAATCTGGCTGGTTGCAGTCTTCTCCCAAGACGCAAAGCTGAGCAGCATGCTTCTCAATTGCTTTAGCACTCTCATGTAGGCCTCGAACAAGCCCACCATGAGCTAATGATTTTCTAAGAACAAGCTGCAAAGCAGTCTCAATGTCCATCGGCTCACCTAGAGCTGGGGCCGGAGCCTCGATAACAACTGCACCTTCATCACTGCATAAGAAATTTAGTTAATCAGGCAATTGAGGGAAATACATGACCATTCGCAGCAACTACAAAGCCAACAACAACAGAAATCTCAATACTAATTCACTGCTAGACAGGAACAATAAAGATCTTGGCTCCTCAGTCACTATCTATCAATCCACACACGAATCACGTATTCTATATGGCCTAAGCCCAAAACAAGTTACCATTCACAGCCTTTTGCATATTCACACTCCAAAATAGTGGGCATTCGAATAATTGATTACAAGGCATCGCCAATAACTAATACACAAATGAGGCAATAGAAAGAACGAAAGAACGGGCAGGCATTCAACAACTTCAAAATAAAAACAACCATGAGAATTTAAGGGGAAAGTTAGCAGCCAGTAAAATAAACAGGTTTCTACTCACGCTGACATTTTTCTTCTTGATTTGAAGCTCTTTTCTTCTTCCTGTTGTACACAAACGCAAAACAATAATCAGAAAAAGGAAGCAAACAATATGAACAGAGGCATTTACGAAGAAGAAGAGAGGAAGGATAAGTATAGAAGATGACTTGAGAACAGCGTAGAAACTGATCGAACCGGAGATCAACGGCGCAGCGAATTAGGTCAAGAAGTGGGGGTTTTATGAAGAAGAAGTGCGGATAAAATGCGCCGATGGAAAAACCCTACTTCTGGGTTGGAGACCTAGCCCTGTTCGGTTTGGTTCGGTCGAGAAACGAACCATAATATTCGGTCAGCAAACCGACGGCTGAGTTAACTTTCTATATAAACCGGTTTGAATCGATCGATTTTGGTTCGGTTTTTAGGACTTTTTATTAAAAAAAAAAAAAAAAGATTATTGGTTATTTTAAATAAGCCAACGAAAATACCTGCCCAAAAAATCCTGTAATTTTTGAGTATTTTTAACAAATATTTTATATAAAAAAAATCAAAACAAGTAATGGGAAAAATATTTGAAATACAACAACTTACAAAATTATAAAATCTAAATGTTAATTTAAAATTTATACAAAATTTAAGATTTAAGGAGGAAAAAAAAAAACAACAACCAGTAACACAATCAAAACTAATTAATATTAATTAAAATTTAATGCAAAATCTAAGATTCAAAAATAAAATAAATAACTTAATTTTTTTTTCAAACGATAATAATAAAAAGAGGCCGAAATAAATGAAAATTTATGGATGAAATTAATTTATGAGTTCCACTAAAATTAAATTGGGTTAAACTTGAACCCCATTTTTACTTATATTATAATTATAATTATATATATATTATTTTTATTTAATTTCATAATTCTTTTTTTAATTATTTATTTTCCATATATACCTTGCAAACCTTCATTAAAGGTTTAAAAATAAATAGTAAATGTTTAACAAATAAATATTTTAAAAATAAAAATTTGAATTAATATCCAATATATTTGGGTCGGATTGGAGAATAATTTAGGATAAAAAATTTACAAATCAAATAATTAAATTAAGTCTAAAAAATGTCTCGATTCAATCTAACTCACGATAAAGGAAAAAGCCGTGGAGACAGCAGACTTGCTAATCAACCGCTCCAGAGAAAACTCGCTCGCTCAAAATGTGTCCCTTCAATTATGTAATAAGGCGTCTACAAGATCATCCTACCTTATATTAGTAAATTATTTGCAGTGTCTACGCCGCACATTCCAAACATAAACGCTCCAAGTGTGTACCAACTTTTACATAGCTAATTTTGTTCCAACTCATTTTCCCCCTCGGCCACAAACAAGAATTTTGTGGATGTGGAGATATCAGCCCCCAAATTTGTGCCAAGTGTTGGGCGACGCCAAGCCTTTATTGGGGCAATATCTAGTTTTCTTGACATGGTTGTAATGCTATTTGGAAGTACCTCCAAGTATCTGCGACCCACTTTGTCAAGAATATGAGCTCCATATGCTGTGGCTGATGGGGCCACCTTACCATAAATTGGTTCAAATGAGCAACCCATGTGAGCCATTGATGAAGCCAGCTTTCTTGGTTGCCTATATATAGATACCAAACAAACAGCTGATCTCCAACTTAAATCTCTCACATATTCTCACCCAAGCATTGAAGTTTACTAGCTATAGCTACTTCTACATCCATATTCAATACCCGTTTGAAGTTCTTTGTCGTCGTCGTCGCTGCTGTCGTCTCACTTCAATCAAATTTAGCGATGGGAATTCGTTTGCTTTCGGTACTTCTTGGTGCTGCCAAGCAAATTCTCAAGATGCAGTCTGTTTCTGCAGTATGTCAGTCCAATGTTCCCAAAGGCCACATTCCGGTTTATGTAGGAGAAACCGAGAGAAAGCGGTTTTTCGTTCCGATATCGTACTTGAGTCATCCTTCGTTCGTGGACTTGCTCAATAGGGCTGAAGAAGAGTTCGGATTCAGCCAACCAACTGGAGGTTTGATGATTCCCTGCAAAGAAGAAGCATTCATTGATGTTACTTCTAGACTGCACACTTCATGAATGATTTGTGAGCAAGGAGCAATTCTCCTCACAGTTTTGACAATTTTTTCCTCTTCATCTTAGTGTATAAGGAAAATTTTGTATGTAAATGGTTAGATTAGAAAAGGTCGAGTTACAAAGCCACTTGAACAGCCTAACAAATATCAGTTGAAATAAAAATTTGATTTTTTTTTTTTTTTTTTTGCAAACAAGGCCTTATTCACCGCTAATTATGTAACGAATTCTTGTTTTCAATTAGGTTGTTTCTGTACGCTAGCAAATATAGTTTTCTTTTGATTTTTCCTCTCGAGTTTTTCCTTAAAGTTCTAAAATTCTGGTTTGCAATTAGATTGTTTCTGTACGCTAGTGAATATTGTTCTTTTTGGATTTTTCCTTTCGAGTTCTCCCTCAAAGTTTTAAAAAACGTCGGCTAGAAAAAGGTTTTCACACCCTTATAAGAAATGTTTCATTCCTCTCTCCAACCGATGTGGGATCTCACAATCCACCCCCCTTGGAGGCCCCCAGCGTCATCGCTGACACACTGCCCAGTGTCGGACTCTAATATCATTTGTAACAGCCCAAGCCCACCGCTAGCAAATATTGTCCTCTTTAGGCTTTCCCTTCCGGGCTTCCACTCAAGGTTCTGAAATGCATCTGCTAAGAAGAGGTCTCCACACCCTTATAAGAAATGTTTCGTTCCCCTCTCTAACCGATGTGAGATTTCACACTACTACACAACTAAAAATTTTAGTTCAGATAATGAATCCTCAGAACTTTCAAGGACAAGAAAAAGAAAGCAGTGACCTGAGCCAATGAATTTGGAGCTGTGACTGCAAATCTTAACATACTTCCATGTGGAAAAATGAACTTAATTTTTGTTGACGAGGTACTCGGTAAGCGACTGCTTTGACGAAAGTCCTGCAGTATGGAGCTAAGTGGATCCGAGGCTAGGGTCGGGAAGTGGCCAAGCCGAAGAGGATATCGTGCTCTATGAAGCGAGTCTCGAGTCAAGTCCAAGGTGAAATGCAAGTAGGTCCATGTGCCATTGTGCAAGTTCAACATTCATCTGAAAACATAGAAAATGGAATGGGTCAGTTAATCCGTTTGAAGAAGAAAGGTCAAGAAAAGTTATATGTAACTTCTAATGATCCATGTCCCAAAGAAATAGATGCAACGTGTTACAGCCATGTTTGTACAAGACGTATTGTCCATGACCACATGCTTTTTACATGCCAAATCCTTTGCTTTGTATCACTTTACTGTTTTCCTTTATCGCTTTTATTATGTATCATTTTTTGTATTTCCTAAATGTATGAAGTTGTGGCAAAATCATGTCTACGCCTGATAGACCTGAAATGTCTCAAAATGTACTATAAGAGGATGTGACTAGTCTTCAATTTTTCATAACCCAGAGTTATATGTTATTAAAGTCGTTAGGTTGCTTTTCAACCTTTCTTTTAATCTTGCTTTCAAACCCTTTTTCAAAAATCTCTCTACCCGTTTTCTAAAAACTTATTCTCAAACGAGGCCAGAAGCTTGAACATACATCTTCAGGCCGTAGGCGACACAATTTTGAGTTGGCTGATTCACTTGGTACTGAGAGTGAATGCTGCACAACCGTTTCTAAACGTCAACTAAAAGCTCGTTTAAATTGGTAGGCTTCACAGTTAATCGATGCTTAATGTACTAAGCAAGGACTGAGGAGTTTCAATAATTATACGATTCTGCATATAATTGGATCGTTATGCCAATTTTTGGTTCCTTCTCAACCGATTTTGTGTGTTCCGATATCTTACTTAAACCACCCATCATTCCAGCAACGGCTCAGCCACGTAGAAGAAGAGTTTGGTTTTTATCATCCTCATCGGGGAGCCTCACAATTCCTTACAAAGAAGACGCCTTCAATGAACTCACTGCAACATACTCACTGCAACATACGCATCTTGAAAAATGAAGAGCAAAGGGAAATCTGTCATATTTGTTACCATTTTCCCCCCAATTTTTCTATTCACTTGCATTTTGACTTTGTAATATTCCATCCTTCATTTTTGGACGTGCTCAGTAGGGCTGAAGAAGAGTTCGGAATCAACCATCCAACCGGAGGATTGACCATTTCCTGCAAAGAAGAAGCCTTCATTGATGTCACTTCTAGACTGCACACTTCATGAAAGCTTGAGAACAAAGAGCAATCTTGCTTGAAATTTTGACTACTTTTTTCAAATCTTCTTTTTCTGTAGGAGATAAGAGTCAAATGTTACTGTAAAGTGAATTTTATTTGAAAAGGTGGAGAATTACAGAGCCACTTGAACATCAACGAAAAATATCAATCGCAGTGAACTAAGATTTTCATTTTGCAATTTCATCAACTGAAACTTTTGATCTACAAGCAACTGTCTCTTTATATGTACAGTTCCGTAAGGAAACTGATTTCATACTGATTACCAAACGAATACAAAAACAGCCAAACACCCCGCCAATTCAAGAGGGCCGGTAATCTCTCTCTAAAACGCTGTTCTTATACAAATTATTTCTAATCTCAGTGCATTGGTTAAACCGAAAGACATAACTACGAACTCATAGAAACCCTTCAGCTCCCCTTTTTTCACTAAGATCAATGGACTGGAGAAAGAACTTACATTTATTTGAATAATACCCGCATCTAGCATGTCAGCTATCATGCATTCAGTTTCCCCTTTTTGAGTATGCAGATACTGGTAGGGGTGCACGTTAATGGGATCGGTACCTTCCTTCAAAATAATATGGTTATCATTGTCCCATCAATCAATAAGAAAGGAAATATTACAAATATAAATAAGGAATATATGCACAATACACAATCAATAAAACAAAAGATATAAATGGAAATCCAACAAAAAAAAATATGCAGAAAAGTTCAACATCATCTCCCAGCAGTTTGTTGGGAGATGGATTTTTGTATGTTGAGATGAGAAGCACCTCGCCCACTTAGTATTGCAAGGCAGCAAACATATATTAGAACCACCTTAGTGACAAGCCTCTAAGATTATAAACATCCTCGAGACACTTAGGTCCATTTATGCTGATGATGTTGCAACATTTACCATCATATATACCACATATTTTTGGACCAGTTCAAATTTTCAAATCGCTTCTAGTCCTTTTCTCAATACCTGTTAATAGTTTTCAGCCAGATATATATGTTTGAATATGACTTCATTTATTGGGACAAGGGGATCCCACAGTACCAGAACTTGGATCAAATTTGATAACAATTGTACTTCAACTACTGGAGCAACCCATGTGGATATCTTCAATACTTTCGTTCTTATATCCTCTCATTTCTCCTATATATACGTACCAAATAAACAGCAGAGATCCAACTCGAATCATCTCACATATTCTCATTTAAGCAGTACAATCTAAATTTCCAGATTCATCGCAAGAGCTCAACCATTCAAAGAAAGTCCTTCATTGTTCTTTCACTTCAAACAATTTTAGACATGGGAATTCGTCTACCTTCTCTTCTCTTTAGTGCCAAACAAATTCTGAAGACACAGTCAGTATCTGTACAAGGTCAATCCAACGTACCCAAAGGTCACATTGCAGTATACGTGGGAGAAATTCAGAGGAAGCGGTTTTTGGTTCCAATATCTTACTTGAACCATCCTTCATTTGTAAATTTGCTCAGTAGGGCTGAAGAAGAGTTTGGATTCAACCATCCAACAGGAGGTTTGACCATTCCCTGCAATGAAGAAGCCTTCATAGATGTCACCTCCAGACTGTATACTTCATAAAAGATTGAAAAAAAAAAAAAGAGCAATCCAACTTGCAGTTTTGACCACTTTTCTTTTCATTTTCTGTCTATAGAAGGTAGAGTTGAATGTCAATGTAAAGGGAATCTTTATATGTAGATGATTAGATAAGAAAAGGTGGAACGAAGCCACTTGAACATCAATGACAAATATCAGTTGCAATGAGAGTGACCATTTTGTAGAAGAAAAAAACCTGATTTGATAAATTAGAGGTATAAAACTTTCAGTTTCCTATATAAGCAAGCAAGAATCTTTGTCAACTGAAACTTTTGATTCGTAAGTTAAATTTATTTATATCACATTTTCTATGTGTCAATAATATGCAAGCCTTTCCTTAATGTCCGGATAAAAGTAAAAGGAAGAAACTAATCACTATATTAAGAGTTAGTCTAGTATATAGAACAAAACAAAACCAATTAACAATGTAAAAGTAGATGCTTCCCAAGTCAACCAAATGTCTTAATATTATGCAGAGAAATTGTTGAGGTGGTTTATGAATTGGGGTTCCTCCGATGTATTACTTCTATGATAGTCATTTTTTGATGCTCAAAGAGTATGTCCAGGACCAGACACATGTTAAAGAAGCAAATCTTCAAATTACAACACTAACTCTAGTATGACCCTTCAGATTTTTTAATGGTAGAAGAAGACAGTATTACCAGACAGTATTACCCTTCAGATTTTTTAACACAAGATCGTGCAGATGTAACATACTTACATGTAGAAAAACTGATATTGATTTTAATGCTGCGGTTCTCAGTGATCGACTGTGTGCCGGAAGTATTGCAATCTCTGTAAAAAAAAAAAAGGTGGTGATATCATAGTCATGAGCTGCCTGAAGTGGATGCAATGTAACTGACTCTATATGACAAACAACGTGTTAATTAGTATCTCATTCCAATTCACATGATTCACAGATGTCGAAAACTCAATTTACTAGACAAGGACTGAGAAATCTGATGATGAGAACTAAGATGTAGTTCAATAGATAATTTGATGCTTATGCCATTTTTTGGTTCTTTCTCAACCTATACATCAACTTCAATGACACAGCAATGGGAACTTCCATAAAAAAGGCAATCCAGTCACAAGGGTATTATATTCTTCCATTTTCAATGCCATTACTCTATCTTGAATCATTTAATTTGATGCAGCAGCTACGTGCTTGGACAATGGCATGTGATGAATGGAGCAATTTGGCCAACGAAACAATTCTTTTTTATTCAAACAAAAGTATATCACAGAATATTTGTGGAGGGAAAGGAAGAGATAATAGGATCAGCTTTTACTTGTTAGGCAAAGCCATGTGGAAGGTTCTACTCAAATACCCACCAACCACCAGACTCCAATACCCCACTTAGAAATTGGATAAGCACCACTGACCTGCATAGCTCTTTCGTCATAACTCTATAAATATAAACATAATACGAGGCTCAAACACCAAATTCAACCGTGACTTCCTCTTCTAGTTGGTTTTATACTATTCCGATCAAAACTACAGATCTTTCTCTATCTTTCATCTCAAACAAATGGGGATTGGATTGCTATCTTTAATTCCTCGTGCCAAGCAAATCTTGAAGATGCAGCCAGGTTTTACCAAAAACCAGCTGGATGTTCCAAAAGGCCATGTGGCCGTTTATGTGGGAGAGATTCAAATGAAGCGGTTTGTGGTTCCAATATCTTACTTAAACCAACCATTGTTCCAGCAACTACTCAGGCACGCAGAGGAGGAATTTGGCTTCCATCATCCACAAGGGAGCCTGACAATTCCTTGCAAAGAAGATGCCTTCATCGAACTCACTTCTAGATTGCAAGCATTTTGAAGAATGAGAAGTCAAGAGCAGTCAGCCATTTTTTTACTATTTTTGCTCCATTCCCTTTCTTATCGACTAGCAAGCAAGAGAATGTATTAGAATAGAGCGCCCTCCTACTTGTATATGAGTGTCATTGAAGGAAATTTTACTAACAAAACTTAATTATAAAAGAAGTTTATACAGAAACAATCAGCATCAACTTCTATGTCGCTTCTTCTTTAAAAGAAATTGCCCTTTCCTTCCATCAGCAACCTACATTTATAATAAACTTAAACTAACACGATCTATGAACAAGTATGACTTTGTTTTACGTCCATATCTACTGTGTATGGCATATATCCACAACAATAAGTCTTTCTTCATACTGTGATTGGGGCAGCCCCCTTGCTCTAGTAGGCATTATTAGGAGGTTTTGAAAGAGAAAAATGAAGGGAAAAGGTACTGGTTTGTTTTCATATTGCTTCGTATTGCACAGAGTTGATAAATTCATTATAAATTGGAGTTATGATCTTCCATATCAGATGTCACATGAACACCATTTTCCAATTTTGAAAATCCTCATGGATACCAAACCCATATTTAAGTAATTAACACTGCAGGAATGCCACGAATTAACTTTATTAGGAGCATCCAGTTCAAATTTTAGGCAGGAAAAAGAAAGCTGCTAATATTACATAATCCCATTAAACAAGGGAAGAATCGACCTTGATTATTATTTGGATGTAGTTACCTAGTATGTAGGAATCATTATTTAGATTAAAAGTTTAGTTACCTAGTATCTACTAGGGATCATCAGATTTTAGTTAACTAGAATATAGCAATTTAATTAGATTACTGTTCAATAGTATTAGGGTATTTAGATTATTTAGATCAGGTATCTGCCACAATAAGAGGGAGTTTTTTCCAGCACTGCATTACTCAAAGCCAAAAGTGTGCCATCTACTGGAAGCAAATACAATGAACTACTCCTTTGTCCATTTGACAAGGAAAACTTGGTAGGCATTAGGACAAATCACATAGATATTCTGTTCTCCCATTTTGAGTGCAATTTACTCTGTTTATAAGTAAAATTGTGTGAAAAGGCTCGGACAGTGGCTTGTGAATTTGTGATCAATGCAACCTAACCAATGAAACTAGAATTTGTGGTGTAAACTACAGATATATGAAGGATGAGAGAATTAAATTAGTGTCTTTTCTGAGTTGAACAAAACCATGTGAAAGAGTCAATTCAAATACGCAACCATCAGACATCAGTACCCCACTTAGCCACCATTGGAAACAGCACCATTCACCAGAAAAACTCGTTCTTCAAAAACTCTATAAAACTTAAGTATCAGATGAACCTTGAAACACCAAACTCAACTCAAGGATATTCAAGCATTACTTCCTCCTCTAGTTGGTTACGTGCCAATCAGATCAAAACTTAAGGTGTCTCATACGTTCTTTCATCTCAAACAAATGGGGATTCGATTGCTATCCTTGGTTCCTCATGCCAAGCAAATCCTAAAGATGCAGTCAGGTATCACTAAAAGTCAGTTGGATGTTCCAAAAGGTCATGTAGCCGTGTATGTGTGAGAGATCCAAAGGAAGAGGTTCGTGGTTACAATATCATACTTGAACCACCCATCATTCCAGCAACTTCTCAGCCGAGCAGAGGAAGAGTTTGGCTTCCATCATCCGCACGGGGCTCTAACAATTCCTTGCAGAGAGGATGCATTTATTCATCTTACTTCAAGATTGCAAGTCTCTTAAAGTACAAGGATTGAAGAAAAACCTTCCAGTTCTAACAATTTTTCTGGGTTTTTTTCCCTGATTCATTAGACTTTTGACTCATACAAGGATTTTGTAGAATGTAACACTTTCCTGCCTGAAAATGAGTGGCATTATAAAGGTGTATTTACTAACATCATTGAATCTAAAGAACAGACGCATTCAGCATCAATTTCTACTTAGCTACTTCTTTGATTCTATATCTGTGATAGTTATTCCACGCTCTAGAGAATATCGAAAATTTATTGCTAGATAATCATAAATCAACAATGCAACTGAATATTAACATCAAATATATCCACAAAAAAAAAATTGGCACGTAACCGGATGCCTTCATTAAAAAAAGAGCAAAGCAATGAAAGTACAATTAGCTTCTTTCCCCTATATTTAGATGTACGAACTGTATAGGATTTTTTCGACCAAGTTCTAATTAATCCTAAAGTTTGGAGAAGAAAGGTGGATTTGAAGATCGAAAGGTTTCAAACCTGCCGAGGAAATGCTCTCTCCTCTCCTCTCTCCGCCTCCTTTCCTCACCGTTTCTAGCCTTCTGCAGTCGCCGGAGATAGCTTTGATTGCTAACTGGGGTTGGCGGTACTTCAATGAGCCGCGTTCTCTTAGGAAGAAGGTGATTTCTAGTACTCACTGGTCCGATGTTTTTGATCGGCATACTCTTGGGAGATCGAATTCTAGTTTCCGCATGGATAAGAATTTCTAGAACTTGCATTTATGGTTACCTTTTCTTTGGAGAATGGTGAAGAATCTCCTCTTTGGCATGATCATTATATTGGATTCCCTGCCTTAAAGAACAGATTTCCCCATCTATTCAGCATCTCCTCTCTCCCAAATCGCTCTTTGTCAGAATTTTGGGACTGTTCGTGTTTCTGCATGGAATATTACTTTTCGTAGATCGCTTACAGAGGTTGAGATTGCAGATTACAATAACCTCATGGAAACCCCTTTCCATCGTTTCAATCGGACGTTCTGCAGATTCCAGAACATGGTCTCTTCAGGCCTTGGGTTCGTTGTCAAGTGCTTGAACTTTAAAGTTTTAAACTTCTTTAAAAATTAATTTTTTTTTAAAAAAATTCAAATATATTCCTACCATGTTTCAAAAAACACCTAAACTTTCAAAATTAATACGAACTAATCTTTAATACCACGTTTTAAAAAAAACATTGTTAAATGAAAATTCCACATCGAATAATTTAGAGAATGATCATGAGTCTATAATCAAATAATACTATCTCTATTGGTTCGAGAGCTTATACTCAACGTGAAAAATATCATATCATTGTGAAGAATCGTGTTCAACTAATAACCATAAACTTTCAAAAGTAATATGAACTAATATGAACTAATCTTCAATACCACATTTCAAAAAAGCCATAAAATTTAAAAAATAATAAGAACAAATCTTTAACATCACGATGAACTTTCAAAAGTAACACAGACGTAACTTTAATACTCCATTTCTTAAATTATATACTTCCTTTCATTAGTTAAGCTCCGTATATTAAGTAAGTATATCAATAGTATATCTATATCACAGATGGATATCAATATCATTAATCATATCACATGGATATCAATTTCATTTGAGTGATATCAATCGTAGCTATGATTGGCGACCATTGCAACCATGTCAGCAAGATCAAACGGGATATGTTTGGGCACTATTGAAAGAAAAGGACGGTTTTAGTATCATGAGTTTGTTCATGTTGGTAAACAGCTGGTTCCAACTACTACAGAAGTTGTTGAAAGTTGGATTCAGCTACTACATTTCAGTAAGAAAGAACCACGATTTTATCCTTAAAATGACCTGTACTGCAATTCAATGCATTTGGTGCCTCTCGTACCTATCCAACCAGGACTATCCAATGATGCAACATTTTCTGTAGCAGTGAAAGCAAATCTCACTCATATCATGTTCTTTCTTTTCCCATCTAGTGCGTTCTTCCTTCAAGAATTCAGTGCTGTTTACCTGAATCAAAAAACTGGGATGGCGGCATATACAAATAAGAAAGATAGGAGAAAGATCGTGTCTGAATCGGGCAATTCTAAGGAGGTGAGATTCTATATCAGTCGAAGAGAGAAACGAAATATTTCTTATAAAGATGTAAAAACCTTTCTTAACAAGTGTGTTTTAAAATTGTGAGGTTAATCATGATATAACATTTGTTAACAGTGAGCTTAGACGGTTGCAAATAGTATCATAGCCAAATATTGGGCGGTGTGCCAGCGAAGACGCTGGACCCCCAAAGAGAGTGGATTGTGAGATCCCACATCGATTGGAGAGGGGAACGAAGTATTCCTTATAAAGGTGGGAAGACCTCTTCTAACATATGGTTTGAAAATTGTGAGGCTAACGACGATACGTAAGGGGCCAAATCGGATAATGCCTGTTAGTAGTAGGCTTGGGTGTAGGCCCCCAACGAGTGGACTGTGAGATCTCACATCAGTTCGAGATGGAATGTCTCTCCCTAACAGATGCATTTTAAAATTGTTCAAACATTTAACGAGCAAGCTTAATAATGAGGATTTATTTGTCATATTGGATTCTTCAAATCAAGAAATTTCTACAAGTTCGTTCTAACTTCCCCAGAAATCCGCTATACGTTCCAAAAGGTCACGTAGCAGTTTATGTGGGAGTGATACAAAGGAAACAGTTCGTGGTTCCAATATCATAGTTGAATCATCCTTCGTTCCAGCAACTGCTCAAACATGCCGAGGAAGAGTTCAGATTTCATCATCCTCATGGTGGTCTAACAATTCCTTACAACGAAGATGTCTTTCTCGATCTCACTTCTAAATTGCAAGTCTCTTTAAGAGGTGAATGAAAATTCACCCACTTTTGAATTTTTTTTCCCCTTGTTTCTTGATTTATTTATGAACTTATACTAGAATAGTAAAATGTTGTAGGAAATTCAAGAACAATTCTTTCCTGAAACTGTAATCAATATATGATCATATGAAATGGAACTATTTCTTTTATTATATGTTTTGTGGCTTACTTTTAGTATGGTATATGTGACATTAGTTGTCTAGGACTGATAGGTTTTATGTCATGTAACGATTTGCATGTTGAGAGACTCGAGCCACGGACCGTCACTAACCAATGTTGAGTATTTGAAAATATAAGATAATTTAAAACTTTTAAAATCTTCATGCATTTAACGAATGTCAAATCAAAAAGTACAGGACATCGAAGCATTCGAAATACAACTAAGCACAATTTCGAAATGATAGACAACTAATAGAGAATATAACATAACTAGATTCATATAAACATAGGATTTGAGAAATACGAGACACTGATCTATCTTGAACCCCTGAAGCCTAGCAACTCGTGCACACCCTTGCTTCGACTGCTCCATCTAGTCCTCATCTGAAAAGATTAAATTAGCATGAATCAGTATAAGAATACTTGGTAAGTAGTTTGCTTATAGTTTCTTAGTTCGTTCTTAAGTCTTATGCTATTAGTTTGTTTGTTCATCGGTGTCTTATTCGTACTTAGAAATCTCGTTCCTAAGTCATTGACTTTCCTAGGCTATCCTCTCGGTTAACTTAGTTCACCTAACCTCAACTTAGGATAAAATGGCAAAAGCTATCAAGTTCTTTTTCCTTGGCCCTATCTCGATTGTCGGTTCTTAGGGTTTGTTTTTAGGGTTTTAAGGTATCTTGATTAGCTATCTACTAGCCCTTTTCATCAACGTTATCAACATCAGCCTATGGTACTCAAGGCGCGACCCTGGCATCGATTCCAACCCCTACTTCTCTTCATACCGTTATGGACACTGTTCTTAGATTCTCTAGTAGGGTTTAGTTGACATCTTCCTAGTAGGCCCCATAACGTGAAAGGCATACAAGGAGGGGGTGACCCTCAATGTTGCCAATCCTCATCTACCTATGTGGTCACTTGCTCTCGTTCGAACAAGATCACAATTAGGAAGTGGTTAGAGACACCCTAACTGCACCCACAAGACACTCATTAAGTTTTCATAAGGTTCATGCATTTTGGGCTCAACATTAGTTCTACCAACTCATAAACGTAAAGACACTATTGCAGACCCTCAGACAAGTTCCTCTTAGGAATTAACTAGCAAGCCATTAATAGTCCCCACAAAGTACAAGTAATTGTAACCAATTTTAAAAAATATTATACAAACCCTACACGATCGAGTCGGCTCACAATTAGGGGTTAGTCGATGAACCCTAAATCATCTCTATATAATCACATAAACATATCATGCATGAACGTATCAATAGGGACATAGCATGGTAATCTAAAATCACATATACCCAGTCATGTTTTCAGTTTCGTTCAATTTCAGGTTTGTTTCGTCATATTCGTAAAAAAACCAAGCATGCAACGGTTTGTTTCATCATATCATATTCTTTCAAGACTATACAAATGGACATCAATTATTTTCTTACCACTGATATCTGACTAAATAGGCAGAAAGCATAGAATAGTCATGATTTAGTTTCATTGAAACAGTAAATTTATGAATATCAAATGCATGTCTTTGGTAGAGGCTTTTGGTTTCAATTGAGGTTTCACATGAGGAGAATTCAAGAAAGATTAAAATAGATCAAATTTCATTCAAACAGTTCATAACTTATCAGGATTATTTATTTATCCAGATATATTCATGTAACGTAAGATGAGTATAGAAATGAAAAATTCAAGGAATTTAGGTCATTTCAATTTTTATAAGAAAATGTGGTTGTCCATTTCAATATGAGTATATAACAGTAGACCCAACATTTAGAGAGCGATGCCACCCGACAAAGGGAGAAAGCTATAGACATCAGCAGAAAGGCAAGTAAAGGCGTAGGTAGTAGATCTACCCGCATCACTATCAGTCAACTTCAAGAGCTTAATTAACTGCTCCATCAACAGAAACGATTGAAGCGGCGGCAAGAAGGTATGCAGCTTACTTAGATGCTACTAGTGGATCATATGTTCCCACCTATGTCTCTAGTGATGTTTCAACCTTTGTTTCTGCTACTCCTATTGGGTATAGAACTGAGAAGGGTACTAATCCTGGATCTACTATGGGCCCTGCTCGCTTTGTTTATGCTCTTGTGGGGACTGGCTTTTGAACTGACTCGACATCTGCTGAAAAAATTCCTCCCCGGGTGAATCTGGATACCAAGCAAGTATATCCCTGACTAATGGGAACAAAATTGTGTGGAGGGTTGTCTTTCTTCTCTCTTTCAAGAAGTTTGATATGAGATTGATCAAGACATCTTCTCTGCAAGGAATTGTCAATCCTCCCGTTGGATATTTAAATCAAAATTCTTCTTCTGTAAACTTGAGAAAAGCTGAAAAAGACGGATGGTTCAAGTATGATATTGGAATCACGAACTGTTTCCTTTCGATATCTCCCACATAGACTGCAATATGGCATTTGGGAACGCTACATTGATTTCTAGTAAGAAATGTGGCAATATGGCATATTAGTAAGAAATGTGGCTCTGTCTTTGTATTTCCATGTTTACAGACTGTAATTGTAAGTTGTGAAAATGATGTTCAGGTAGATAGGCAATGTGTTATCACCTTTCAGCTACCCGATCGAACACGTTAAAACTAACTATACATTGATTTCTACTCTTTAACTATGGGTAAAAAATGGAAAGAATCTGGCAAAATTGTGTGGAAATTTGTTTTTCTTCCCTCTTTCAGGACGTTTGCAGCCTGGATGTGAGGTTGATGAACACATCTTCTCTGCAAGGAATTGTCAATCCTCCAGTTGGATGTTTAAATCCAAATTCTTCTTCTGCAGTCTTGAGTAAAGCTGAGAAAGACGGATGATTCAAATATGATATTGGAACCACAAACCGCTTCCTTTCGATATCCCCCACATAGACTGCAATATGGCCTTTGGGAACGCCACATTGATTTCTAGATGGAACGGTCTGCATTTTGACAACTTGCTTGGCATTGAGGAGAAGTGAAGGTAGCCTGATTCCCATGTCTAGTTTAGAAGTTGGGAAGTGTATTACTTTGAATGAGGATGTGTTTGAAATGTAAGTTGAAGATTGAAGTTCGTTTGATCTGTATTTATGGATTCAGGAATACAGAAGTGATGAGAAGAAAACAGTATCAAGTAGGTGTCTAAGAAGGCATACATAAATGCTCACATGGGTTGCTTATTTTGTTTGAATACATGCACTTCCCTATGTTCCCTAACTACTGGTGACAGTCCCACTCGTTTCAATGAGGTGCATTTATAATCCAAAATAAGAGGTTAAGAAAGCTTCAAAACAAAGCTAAAACACCATATAGAGGTTTGTCGAGCAAAGTCTGGTCAAGGGAAAATTAGTTCATGATGGTGAAAAGAAACTTGAAACAAACAAGCACTGTAAGACAAAGACATGTAATCTCTTCAGCTTCAAGAATCAGCATTTCTAGTTCCAATGTAGTGGACTTTGTCTGTAAGTATCTATGAGTTGACAGGAGATATATGGAAACATTTGACCAATGAAACTAAAATTTGAGGTATAGAATACAGAGACTATGGAGTGGCAGGAGAAAATGGCTGGCCCTTTCATGAGTTGGGCAAAGCCATGTGAACCAGTATACTCAAATATACCCAACCACCAGACATCAATACCCCACATAGCCACTGGAAAGGCCACACTCACCAGCATAGATAGCACTTCCTTCAGAAACTCTATATATATAAACATCAAAATGAGCCTTCAAACACCAAATTCAACTCATTTCAAGTACTACATCCTCTTATAGTTAGCTCCTGACCTTTTTGACACTCTTTTCATCTCAAGAAAATGGGGATTCGGTTTCTATCTTTGGTTCCTCATGCCAAGCAAATTCTGAAGATGCAGTCAGGTTTCACCAAAAACCAGTTGGATGTTCCGAAAGGCCATGTTGCAGTTTATGTGGGAGAGATCCAAAGGAAGCGGTTCGTGGTTCCAATATCTTACCTAAACCATCCATCGTTCCAGCAACTGCTCAGTCACGCAGAGGAGAAGTTTGGATTCCATCATCCTCAAGGGGGACTAACAATTCCTTGCAAAGAAGATGCCTTCATCGATCTTACTTCTAGACTGCAAGTATCTTGAAGGATGAACAGCAATGCTCAAGCTGCAATTTTCTACAACCTTTTCTGGTTGTTTCTGACTCAATTGTATTTTGACCCATACTAGAATGTTGTAGAATGGAATGCCTTTCTTGCCTGTAAATGAGTGGCATTGTAATGGCGCATTTACCAACAGAAGTGAATCAAAAGAAAACACAAATTTAGCAT